AACCTCTGGTAACCTGTAGTAACCCATAGTAACCTTAGTAACCTCTGGTAACCTGTAGTAACCCATAGTAACCTGTAGTAACCAGTGGTAACCTTAGTAACCTGTGGGAACCTGTAGAAACCTTTAGTAACCAGTGGTAACCCGCATTAACCCATAGTAACCAGTGGTAACCCGCATTAACCCATAGTAACCTGTAGTAACCCATAGTAACCTTAGTAACCTCTGGTAACCTGTAGTAACCCATAGTAACCTTAGTAACCAGTGGTAACCTGTAGAAACCTTTAGTAACCAGTGGTAACCCGCATTAACCCTTAGTAACCAGTGGTAACCCATAGTAACCTTAGTAACCTCTGGTAACCTGTAGTAACCCATAGTAACCTTAGTAACCAGTGGTATACTGTAGTAGCCATTAGTAACCAGTGGTAACCCGTACCAACCCGCAGTAACCCTTAGTAACCTGTGGTAACCTGTAGTAGCCATTAGTAACCAGTGNGTAACCAGTGGTAACCTGTACCAACCCGCAGTAACCCTTAGTAACCTGTGGTAACCTGTAGTAGCCATTAGTAACCAGTGGTAACCCGTAGTAACTAGTGGTAACCCGTACCAACCCGCAGTAACCCTTAGTAACCTGTGGTAACCTGTAGTAGCCATTAGTTACCCGTACCAACCCATAGTAACCGTAGTAAATTGTGGGACCCAGACCGCGGTCAGGTCCAGAACCCTGTAGGACCTGCAGTAACCTTTAGTAACCAGAGGTAACCTGTAGTAGCCATTAGTAACCAGTGGTAACCTGTAGTAACCATTAGTAACCCGCAGTAACCCATAGTAACCGTAGTAAATTGTGGGACCCAGACCGCGGTCAGGTCCAGAACCCTGTAGGACCTGCAGTAACCTTTAGTAACCAGTGGTAACCTGTAGTAGCCATTAGTAACCAGTGGTAACCCGCAGTAACCAGTGGTGACCTGTAGTAAATTGTGGGACCCAGGCCGCGGTCAGGTCCAGAACCCTGTAGGACCTGCAGTCCTACCTTCAGCTCCTTGAAGAAGATGGAGGTCCGGGCCCACTCCACCAGGGAGCACAGCAGCTGGTCGGCCAGAGCGGATCCTGAAGCCCAGGAGCCGCTCTCTCTGCAGGTGCTGCCCTGCTGCTCAGGTGGATCCCAGCACAGACACCGGATCAGAACCGGGGGCCTCTGACCTTCTGCGGTGACGGCTCTGGGCTCTGGGCCCTGTGGAGAGATGATCCGGGCTGCTCGGTCATTGCAGTGCTCTAACCTCCAGGCCCAGTGAGAAGGAGAGGGGTTCTGGTTCTGTGGATCAGCAGGTGGGCTGCAGGGCAGGGCTGCAGAGGGGGGGGTGGTTCTGGGTTGGTGGGTGGAGGGGGGGCTCAGCCTGCTGGCTTGAACCAAAGCTTTCCTCTGCTGCTTGGCGGCGCGGTCCTGCTTGTACATGGGCCCAAACTTGTTTCTTCCTCCTCTCATCCGATCAGCGCGGACAGCTGCAGGGAAACGATCATCTGTCAGTCGGGTTTACAGATTCTGACACAACATCTAACTTTAAAGTAACCTGAGGATCAATAATCTGATAGAAATTATTCAGGTTTGAAGCAGCAAATCCAGGCTTGACCTCCATGTTTGCATTTCTAAAACAAACGCGTGGATGGAAGTAGCTATTAAAGAAAGTTTAAGAGTTTCTGCAGGAATCCTTAAAGCCAAAGCCGAGTTTTTCACTGAAGGAAGATCAGAATAGGAGGAAGGTTCTAGTCTCAGTCTGAAACTGGAAACCAGCAGCTGAACTGGGCAGGAAATATTCTCCATGTTTCCACTTTGGTCTCAGTCTGCAGCAGAAGCTGGGCTCTGTTCTGATCCAATAGTGCATCTTTCACATTCTGCTCTCCATCTGCTGAATCCTCCCAAAACGCTGCCGTCCACCTGAACACAGATGAAACATGTGACATAAAGAACGTCTTCCATCCAGCTTACCTTCCAGACGCATCCCAGCATTCAGACACTTCTGAAACCTGCAGAACGGGCATCTTTTCCTCTGACTTTGATCAATCTGGCACTGCTGCTTTCCCACACAGACGTACGCCTTCTTGTTTTGAACAGTTCGTTTAAAGAATCCCTGCAGAACGAGACGAAGCTGTTAACGCAGCACAGCAGGAGAAGAACTATGGTGGGCAGATAGGTACCTTGCAGCTTTCACAGGTGAGGACGCCGTAGTGGTATCCAGAAACTTTATCTCCACACACCGGGCACAGCTCCTCCACATCCATCACTGAGCTCCAGGAAAACATGGCAGAGAGGAGCCTCCTCTTCTGGGGAGAGGAACAGAGAGGTCATTACCCAACGTTATGCTCTGATTGCAGTCAGTTAAATAGAAACGCAGCCTCAGACAGGATACCTACATGAGGTTCAGTTCTCCATGAACGCAGGTATGATTCCAGGATCAGTCAGTGATGGTTCCACCTGTGGAGAAAGGAGCTGAGCTTTCTGCCCTCTCTGTAGATCAGGCCATCAGCCTCTGGAGGAGGGAAGCTGTGGTCGTTCTGATGCCAGGGGGCACGTCTAAGACGTCACCTGGTTACCGCCCCACCTGCTCACCTGGTTCCCTCTCTGTGTCTGAAATGCTTTTTAGCTTATTTCTCTTTTACTGCCTCTGGCTTCCTTCCAGCTGATCAGGAAACGGAAAATTAATTCAACATAAAATAATAATGCAAAAAATACATCCAGGAGGAAGATTCTGGAGGCCGCCTGTGGAGCTAGTTGTATCTATGCGTCTTTTTCTATGTCTGCTTGAACCCCAGTCAGCCTCAGCAGATGGCCGCTCACACTGCACTGGAAAAAACGGTCTAGAAATAAGTAAAAATGTCTTAAATTAAGTGTATTTATCCTTAATTTCAGTAGTTAAATTAGATTTTTACTCTTAAAATAAGATAATTTGATCATGTGCATTTGCAAATGGAATTGTTTTTTTCTTATTTTAAGTGTAAATTGTCTTGTTTCATTAACAAAATCTCTGTTTTACCTCCTCAATCCAAGAACAAACTATTTTAAAGAAAAAAATGACTTATCTAGATTTCTGTGAGGAGCTATGTGATGGACCCAGAATGCAGACATCAAGGCTAGGAGAAAGGAGCAACGTTTATTTTTAGGTTCACAGGCAGAGAAGGAAGGAAGGAAACGGGTAGTGTGAGCTGGGAGGGAAGCTCTCTGCAGCAGCTGGAGCAGAGGGAGGAGGGTGGTGTGGCTTGGTAGCTGGATCCTGGGTAGACAGAGCAAAGGTAAGAGCAATATGTTCAATTTCAAAAGCTGAAGAAATCATTTCCACAAGGGAGAGAAGTTTTCACATCTACCATCTAACGGTGACCATCAGGCAGAGAGCACAGGAAGCCATGCTTTAAATACGGCTCCAGATGAGGATCAGTCTCAGCTGTGTGCAGCCAGCTCCTCCACAGCCGCACCTATCAGAGAGAGAGAGAGCATAACCTAGACTGCACCCAACAGGCCCAGACACCACAATTTCTATGTTTTCAGCTGTGAGCCTGGTTCTGCTGGAGGTTTCTTCCTGTTTTCCTCTCCACTGTTGCTGCATGCATGCTTGGTGTGAGGGGATTGCTGCAGAATCAATGAGTCGATGAGATGATGTGATGTGAATTGTTGTTGAATTAAAGGGGAACACCATTTTTTTACATTGGGTCCTTGATTTTATGTTATTCCATCATGTTCTACTCACCCATATGAGTTTTCTGGAGCCTCGCGCTGATGACGTCATGCACGTTTTGTTTAAAAAAAAATATATAGATATGAAAAATCTAACAGTGGATGTCTGGGGGACAGTGATTGGCCTCCATGTTCTGAATGCTGGCGTTCCATAAAGAATAAATGATGAACAGTTTAGTTTGTGCCTTCAAGTCGTTGCCCATAGGAAGACGTTACTGGATATAACCTAACGGAATATCTTCAGAACGGCTCCAAATGACACTAAACTCATATGGGAGAGTAGAACAGGATGGAATAACGGGAAATCAAGGAAACAATGGAAAAAAAATGGCGTTCCCCTTTAAAGTGATGAATGTTTAGAAGTTAGGGGACAGAAATTAATGTTCTAAGACTAAAGTTAAAACAGAGATTCCAATTTTAAAAAGAGGTTCTGTTAATAAATGTATAAAAACAGACATTAAATAAAGTTATTAATCACACATATAAGGCGACTTTAGAAGAGACTAAATCATCTCCTCATTCTGTCTTTGGAAACACTGAAAGCTGCTGATTGGCTGATGTCAGGCAGCAGGATGATGCTATGGGCTGATCTTTAGTATTAAAGTATGAAAATACTCCATTTACTGTTATGCACTTTAAAAACAAACAGAAAAGCAGCACCAAGAACATTTTCAGGTCCTGTTTCAAATGTCCGCAGGTTGCCTCAGGGTCATGAGGACAGTCTGCAGGAGCAGACGCCCCCTCTGGGTTCTGCTGAACATGGTGGCCATGTTTCACCCACTCAGGTCCTCATTTACTGGAACATTCTAGAGTCGGTTCAACCATAGATATCCATAATAAAGGCTAGATGTCTTACGGCGGAGTCTCAAACGGCATCACCGGGCGGCCATCTTACCACAGGCAGGCTTTCTGTTGTGCTCTGTGGTACCTAATGTAAGGTGAGTGATCAGCATGAACACAAATACTCTTATCTCATTGAATTCTAGACGGACTTACAAACAGTTTGGTTTATATATATATATATATA